ACTGAGTTCGTCACGGAGCAGCTGAAGGACGGTGTCTCGCAGGGGCTCGCGAGCGTGAGCGAGGAGCTCGAGGCGGTTCGGAAGTTTGTGGGCATGGTGCCACCGTCGCCGCCGTCTCCGCCGTCGCCTCCGTCGCCTCCGTCGCCGCCGCTTGCGCCGCAGCCGGTAGCGCCGCCTCCGACCTTTCCGCCAGCGTGCGTTTGGTCGGATTGCACAGTTGAGTACCTCAACCTCGCCGATACCAACACCAACCTGAAGGGCTTCCAGGGCGGCTACGTCACCGACGCACACGCCTACTACGTGCCGTTCTACAATGGCGCGTACAGCGGCTACGCGGCGCGCGTCAACCTCTCCGACTTCTCCTCCTCGGGCGTCGAGTACTTCAACCTTGCCGACACGAACCCCAACCTGAAGGGCTTCTTTGGCGGCTTCGCCACTGACGCACACGCCTACTACGTGCCGACCCTCAACGACGGCGGGCGGAGCGGCTACGCGGCGCGCGTCTCGCTCTCCGACTTCTCCTCCTCGGGCGTCGAGTACCTCAACCTCGCCGACACCAACTCCAACCTGAAGGGCTTCCAGGGCGGCTACGTCACTGACACACACGCCTACTACGTGCCGTACAGCAACGGCGCGGCGTACAGCGGCTACGCGGCGCGCGTCTCGCTCTCCGACTTCTCCTCCTCGGGCGTCGAGTACCTCAACCTCGCCGACACCAACCCCAACCTGAAGGGCTTCTTTGGCGGCTTCGCCACTGACGCACACGCCTACTACCTGCCGAACAAAAACGACGGCGGGCGGAACGGCTACGCGGCGCGCGTCTCGCTCTCCGACTTCTCCAACTCGGGCGTCGAGTACCTCAACCTCGCCGACACGAACTCCAACCTGAAGGGCTTCAATGGCGGCTTCGCCACTGACGCACACGCCTACTTCGTGCCAGACAAAAACGGCTCGCCCCACGGCTACGCGGCGCGCGTCAACCTCTCCGACTTCTCCTCCTCGGGCGTCGAGTACCTCAACCTCGCCGACACGAACTCCAACCTGAGGGGCTTCGGTCGCGGCTTCGCCACTGACGCACACGCCTACTACGCGCCGTGGGACTACGGCGCGCGCAGCGGCTACGCGGCGCGCGTCTCGCTCTCCGACTTCTCCTCCTCGGGCGTCGAGTACCTCAACCTCGCCGACACGAACTCGAACCTGAAGGGTCTCAACGGCGGCTTTGCCACTGCCACACACGCCTACT